GATGGTTGGATGACTGATTGGATGACTGATTGGATGGTTGTATGGTTGGATGACTGATTGGATGACTGATTGGATGGTTGTATGGTTGGATGACTGATTGGATGGTTGGATGGTTGGATGGTTGGATGACTGATTGGATGGATGGATGGTTGGATGGTTGGATGACTGATTGGATGGTTGGATGGTTGTATGGTTGGATGACTGATTGGATGACTGATTGGATGGTTGTATGGTTGGATGACTGATTGGATGACTGATTGGATGGTTGTATGGTTGGATGACTGATTGGATGGTTGGATGGTCAGATTGTGTACAGTGTACAGGTCTGACCCTGTGGTTCTGGTAAACCCAGTGTTGACTCAGCTCTGGTGTTTCTCACAGGGGTTCTGGTGGTGAACGTGACCTGGAGGAAACGGACCTACGTAGGAACTCTGCTGGACTGCACCAAACACGACTGGGCTCCTCCCAGGTACCAGTATTCAGCCACACCTCTGATTCATTTAGATATGAATAGATTGTGTTTCAGTGAAACAATGCAGCTGTGGAGCTCAGAGCTGAAGACCTTCAGCCTCATGTTGGAGCTGCTGTCAGATTAAAGTTTATTTACACTCAGGATTTCATAAGGATGTAAATAATTTAGGAAAACCTATACCTCTGTTATGATTTCTGTCTGTGTTTAGTGTTTTTATGTTTTGTTTCTGTCATGTTCATGTTTCCTTCCTCCTGTCTTGCCCTTGCTCCAGCCCCACCTACTCACACCTGATCCTCATGTGTCTCCCTCAGGTGTTTGTTGTTAGTAATTGTTGTCTGTGTATTTAAACCCAGTCTTGTCACTGTGTCTTTGTCTGATCATTGTTTGTTAGTTGGTATGTCCATGTTTAGACTCTTGTTCTGCTCTAGCTTTCTGGTTCCTGATTTTTGTTATTTATCTGTTTTTGCCACCACGTTGGCTTTTTATTTAATAAATTTTGTTAAACTTTCTTGTCTTGCCTGCCTGCCTGCATTTGGGTTCACCCTGCCTCACACCCTTAACAACCTCAGATTATTTCTTTCTGTTTGTTTTGACATTAATCTGATTCTTTCTGGGATTAAACAGATTAAATAATTTGTTTCCAGTAAATCAGATTATAACAGATTATCAGATGTGTTTGTGTTGGCTCAGATCTTTTAGCCATGTCTCCAAATGTTAATAAGTTCCATCCAGTCATTGTGTTTGTGTCTCTTTTTGTTCTGTCCAATCATTCACAACATATTTTGCTAACAGACAAACACAGAGACGTTGGTTTCTGTAATAAAATTTAATTCAATTCAAATTCAGTTCAAAAATACTTTATTGATCCCAGAGGGAAATTAGGTTGACAAGTTGTTCAGGGATCCTCCGGGGTTTTGAAATGTGCTCACATCAGCAGAAGTCCTTGAAATGTCACAGAAACAAGTTTAAATAATTGTTACATTTTCCAAAAAGCAATTATCCCATCATGAGATACGATCGTCTGAAATCAGTTTCATTAAAAACCTGCTGAATTCCCTGCAGGATGTGTCCAAGGTCACCGAGCGTCCGGTGATAAAAGCTGTAATGGTTGCATTAAAGCTCCGTCACAGATCCAGCAGCGTTCCCATGGCAGCCGAAAGGTTTCTGATCAAATAACACATATTTTGGTTGGAGGAGCAGATTTAAAGTCTGCAGTGAGCTGCATCAAAAGACTTGAAGGTAGAAGAGACCAGCATGTGAATACAAACGAGTGTGTGTCAAACAATTCTGCTGCTTCTTCAGCTTTCAAATGAAAAACAGACTTTGAGAGTTTCAGGTCTGGTTTTAGAGACGACCTGAACTCCATCCAGCTTCAGATCTGTCAGGAACAGAAGCAGAAACAAGGATTTTATCTACAAACCAGTTCTGAAAGAGTTCAGAACCTGAATAATAAATAAAAAGTAAATAAAAACAGATCTTAGTTTCAACATCTGCTCCATTGTCGATCGAATGCATTAGATTGATAAATAAACAGCTTTAAAGGTCTGTCAGTAAAACCCTCTGTTGTGTCTGCAGGTTCTGTGAGTCTCCCTGCAGCGATCCGGACTTACCTGGCAGCCGTGGGCGGGGCAAACGGATGCGCCTGGCCCTGGCCGAGCGGGCCTGCATGGATCCGACCTCAGCTGCTAAACTCAGAGGTCTCTCGCACCACCGCAGTCGTGGCGGTGGCGTGGCGGGAACCGCCGCCTCCATCCACAGCAAGGGTCGGCGAGGCAGCCTGAACCTGATCAGCAGCAGCTATAGAGCCCCGCCCTCTTTCTTCACTGTGGACGAGGTGAAGGCTGCAGGCTCCGCCCTCTCCTCCGGGAAGAGGAAGAACAAACCGCCGGTGGATCTGGACCTCAGTCTCGTCTCTTCTGAAGACGTGAAAAATGGGAATGGGAAAAGGATCCGGGCGAAGTCCCGCAGCGCCCCGTCCACTCCCCTGGGCAAGTCGGACCCCTCGTTCATGGACCCTGGAGGAGGGTGTGCTTCTTCACCTCCTCCACCCATCCTCATCGACTGCCCACACCCAAACTGCACCAAACGCTACAAGCACATCAATGGCCTGCGCTACCACCAGACCCATGCCCACCTGGACGCCGAGGAGCAGAGGAAACCTGAGCTGGGACCCGGGAAGGACGGAGACAGTGAAGACCGACTGTCAGACTGTGAGGACACCAACAATGGGACCTTTGAGCTCCCAGAGAACAGCACAAACTGCTGCAAGAAAGCTGCTCCCCTCTACAAGGTGACCACCGTGGGCTCTCCTAAGAACCGGCGGTTGCTCCTCAGTACGAACCACAGCCCCACAGCCAGCTCCAAAACTAGGAGAACCTCCCTCCTGAAGGACGGTCTCCTCGATGACCTCAGCAACCTGCCCATCATTTCCAACATGACCGTGGTCTTAGAGAACTGCATGGTCCCAGACCGGAGCTCCTCGGTAGAGATGCCCAAACTGGAAGCAGAAGGACTGATCGACAAGAAGGGGGGGCCGTGTGACAAGAGCAAGAAGACTAACGGGAAAGTGGACAAGCTGTCCAAGTCCAGGACCAACCGGCCAATCGCTCCAGCTCCCGCTCCGCCAAAACTCATCGCCATCCCCAACCCGACGCAGCCCAGCAGCCTGGCCGAGGCTGTCGGCCCTCCTCAGCCCTCTCCTCTGGCAGCTGTGGGCCTCAGCAGCAAAACCCTGCCCCTGAAACCCATCAAACCAAAGCTCAGCGTCGTTGTAGAGCCCAGCCTCGTCAAAGCCACCATGGTCACCTGCAAGGAGACCCGGAGAAAAGAAAAACGGAAGCTGAAGGACAAACACAACAAAGACGCGCCAAACAGGACGCCTAACGCAGACGGTGGAGGGACGAAGACGGAGGACGGAGCTAAGATGTGTGTGAAGGACGTCTCCGGGAGTCTCCTGAAGGAGCACCTCAGTAAGCAGGACGTCTCCAACGGCTTCACCGAGAGCCAGGAGAGCAGGATGGCCAGTATCCGAGCAGAGGCCGACAAGGTCTACACTTTTACCGACAACGCCCCCAGTCCCTCTATTGGCAGCTCGGCGCGACTCGACTCTGCCGGCGGTTGTTTAGCAACAGGAGACAGCAGCAAAAACAATAGCCCCGCCTACTCCGATATCTCTGATGCCGGGGAAGATGGCGGATCTTCCGAATGTCGGTCGGACGGGCTCAGATCTAAGTCGGGCTCCTCCTCTTCCTCTGAGGTGAGTTCCAGCAGTAACCATGGTAACCCTGGTAAAACTCCTCCCACAGCTTCCACCCAGGCGTCGAAGGAGGCCCCGCCCCCGTACTACCACGGCTACGAGCCCTACTTCCTGCAGGGGTACATGCAGTCGGACCGGCAGAACAACGGCAGCGTGTCCTTCCACAAACACTCCGCTCTGGACTGCAAGGGAAAGGACAGGAAGGAAGACGTGAAAGAGGACGACAAGACCTCGTCCCACGAGTTCTCAGACCCTAAGAAGGGAGACGGTCCACCTCAGTCCCAGCTCCAGCTGGCCATGACTCAGACCCAGACCGCTCTGGCTCAGTCCCTATACTATGGACAGTACTCCAGAGGACTGTATATGGACCAGAAACTCCTGCTGGCCTCCAAATGCTGTGAGCAGACCCCCACCAAGCAGAGAGGGGCGGGGCTGAGAGATGGAGAGGCAGGGCTTTTACCCAGCACACCCCTGCTAGGTAAAGGTCCAGACTGTCCCAAACCGGTCCTTTCCTACGTGGAGATGAGTGACAGGGGAGAAAGGGGACAGAGTCTGAAGATGGTGCACAGGGACATGGTGGACCAGCACCAGGTCTCACTGAAGGACTGTGAGGACATCAAGTCCTCCTCCTCCTCCTCTTCATCCCTCCACAACCCAAACAGTCAGACAGATCTGGACTCAAATGTTTCCTTTTCCAGTGTAAGTTTCTCCCTGTGTTTGTAAGCCGCCGCCGCCGCTGATGCTGTTGTTGGTGTTTACCGTGTCCTGTAGGTGCTACCATCAAGGACCAGGTGGTTTCTGGGGTCCGACTCACTGCTCCGGTTGCATCAAATGCAAAATGTTCGTAATGTTTAGAGTTACTGGAGGAAATGTGTGTTTCCAGGTTTAAGTGTAACACAGCTTGTACAGATTCGTCCGAATGAAAGCCATGTTGGAGAGGTTGTTGTTGTTGTTGTTGTTGTTGTTGTTTTTCCTCCGATTTGCTCTAAACACTGCACTTGATCATGTGTGAGACACTGCTCTCCTCACATCTCACTGCTGAATGGCCGCCTGCTGTTGAAAGTGGTCATCCTTCATCAACATGTCAGCAGAGCCGTGATAGATGTTCTGTCCACGGTTCTGTTCAGCCACAGTGTTTCCTCTATAGTCATCCAGCAGCGGTGGGCCACGGCAGACAGAAACCAAACCAATGTTCAGATGAAAACTCACAGTTTAAACTGTTTTTCTTCTAAAAAGCACTAAAGAGACAATTTGCTAATGTTTAGATAAAACAATGTTTTAGTTGGACGATAAAAGCAAGACTGAGACACGGACCGGAGTTGAACCGACCCCAAAAATGGCTCCCACCCACCCACCACTGTTAACAGAGAATATAAAGGAAACACTGAACCAGCACCAACACTTGTCCCCATCAATGTGTAGCCCTCAGACGGCCCGGGCTGGGCTCACCGCCTCGCTCACAGCAAACACGAGGACAGCGTCCAGGAGGGCGAAGCTGACAGTGGGAAGGAGTGGGCAGCCTCCGTGGAGCCTGCAGGAGCCAGGATCACCTCAGGAGGAGCGGCAGTCGACACTAAAAAAGCCAGAGTTTATGGAATTCATGACCTCCCGCCCACCGTCAACATGGAGGATTCAGACCAGCTGGAGGACCCGGGTCCGGAACCCATGGACGGGTTGTCTGAGGGGTCCCAGAGTGGTCGGGCAGTGGTGTCTCCTCCACTCAGCCCCCAGCAGTCCTACATCCAGTACCAGCACTCCTATTCCTCCTACCTGACCATGTGTGAGGGCAGCGGGGGCTCCTACAGAGGACCGTCCCCAACCCTGGTCCACAACTACCCAGGTAGGACTCTCAGAGCCCTTCAGCATAAAATCACATTGAGATCTCTGCTGTTTGTGGAGTATCTGATGTGTAAATATCGTGTAAATACATAAATTAAAGTTCACCTCTTGATTTGCTTTTATCAATAAATGTTTAACTTCACTTAATTCAGACTAAACATGAAAGTGAAATCTGCATTTAATTACTGAAAGAAACCTCCTGTTGTTAAATGGGGAGGAGGGTCTCTGTGTCCAGTTTCCCCCCTCTTACAATGCTGTTATTGGGAGTTGGACTCAGCCCTTTGTGAGCAATAGAGATAATCAGATCACCATCAATCCGTCATTGGCCTGATGGTCCTATTTTACATGTGGACAAACAGTGTTGATTGTTATCATTAAACCTGTTTGTCCACATGTGTCTTTATGGTTATAAATAAATACAAAGCCAGTATAATCCAAAACCTAATAGAAGTTTAAATTAATTTAGTTTCTGTGTGTTATAGCATCAGTGAATTTATTCTTCTTTACTTGTGTTGTGTCTGTTGTTTTGCAGGTTTCCACTATCCTCTGTACGGAAAGACAGCTGGCAGGGAGGAGTCAGAGGTGAGTCCAGCCAGCAGAGTAGAGGTAGTCAGCAGCAAACTGATCAGCGAATCATCGTCCTCATCCTCCGGCATACAGCTGCTGCAGCATCCGAGCCATCAGTACCGTGGAAAATCTCCTGTTGTAAGAGAAGACCCCAGCTCCTTTGATGTTTACATGATTGATCTGATGATTGTATGCCTGATACAATGATTGTAGGACCGATCTGATGATTGACAGATCTGATGATAGTATGCCTGATCTGAGTTTGTATGCCTGATCTGAGTTTGTATGCTTGATCTGATGATAGTATGACTGATCTGATGATTGTATGACTGATCTGATGATTGACTGATCTGATGATTGACTGATCTGATGACAGCATGACTGATCTGATGATTGAATGATCTGATGAGTGTATGACTGATCTGATGGTTGTATGGCTGATCTTATGATTGTTGGACTGATCCAATGATTATTTGACTGATCTGATCATTGTAAGACTGATCCCATGATTGTCTGACTGATCCGATGATTGTTTGACTGATCTGATGATTGTTTGACTGATCCCATGATTGTATGACTGATCTGATGATTGTATGACTGATCCAATGATTGTCTGACTGATCTGATGATTGTATGACTGATCCAATGATTGTCTGACTGATCCGATGATTGTATGACTGATCTGATGATTGTATGACTGATCTGATGATTGTATGACTGATCTGATGATTGTATGACTGATCTGATGATTGTATGACTGATCCCATGATGGTATGAC